ATTTATTTTGGGAATATTAATAATATATATAAATATATTTGTGTATATTTTTTCAATAAAAATTTGAAAAAAAAGGTAATTTACAGGCTATTTGAGCATTTCGTGTAAATTAACGTGAAACAACTATTTTTTTTATTTTTTTTAATTATTTCATTTTTAACACTCAAATAAATACAAGAGAATAACAACAAACTTAAAATGAAATTCAAATACTAAGTAGACTGAAATTCAAATGTAAATACAAATCAAAATAAATATTTCGTAAACTACAGACCGTACTTTAATCGTGAGATTCTTGTTCTTGTTCCTGCATAACAAAAAATCGTATTAATAACTTCATTTTTTAAGGGATTTCACATTATTTAATACGATTTTTTTATGTAGGAACAAGAACAAGAATCTCACAATTTGATTCATAAGATTTAGGATTCGATTTGCTATAAAAACATATATTTTAAGAATAAAACTAAATTATGCTAAAATTATAGGTTTTGATTACAAACACTAGTTACATACGATCCTAAATCTTATAATAATAATAAGAATAATAATAATAATAATTACATTGATGAATATTACAAATTAAATGACCATAAATCATACACTTTTAATACTTAACTTTTTTCTTTATTGTTTTAAAGAAATTGGTCTGTTTACTATTAATTTTTTTTATATTTTAGCATGTAAACCATATAATTTTTGTAGTTTGGTTGTAGATTTTGCAATATATATTTTTTGTTATGAATACTATGCAATGTCTTATGGATTTGTGTATATCGTTATAATATTAAAGTATGGCACGTAGTTTACGAAATATAGGTTTATTTTAATTTGTATTTACATTTGAATTTTAGTTTATTTAGTATTTGAATTTCATTTTAAGTTTGTTGTTATTCTCTTGTATTTATTTGAGTGTTAAAAATGGAGTAATTAAAAAAAATAGTGATTTCACGTTGCATTTCCTGGAAATTTACACGAAATGCAAGCTTGCATTTCCTGTAAATTTACACGAAATGCAAGCTTGTATATCACGTAAATTTACACGAAATGCAAGCTTGCATTTCGTGTAAATTTACACGAAACAATACAAAATTCTGAAAAATAAAGCGTATCGTGTTGTATTGCACGAAATGGAGTGTTTCATTTCGTGCAACAGAACACGAAATTCATAAAAATGTCGAAAATCGACAAAAAACACATTTTTTAATCTCAAAATCGATTTAGGTTTCATACTTCTTGATAATTATTGTGTTCTAAATGATACTATCGGACAAATTTGACGATTTGGTAAGTTTTAAAATTCGGAGGTTGAGAGGATTTCGAAAAATGTTACAGGGTTTTTTGACAAATGAATTATTTCGCACTGTAACCGGAAAAAATTGCCCTATGAATAGTAAGCCCCTTCTTTAAAACCCACAAAAACAAAAGTGAATCTACCTAACTCGGGAAGATGGGCGAGTGAGTGATTCGATTCAAGGGGGGCGCGTGTCGTGCAGTCGCGCATCGGAGATTGTGTTTGTTTGCATTTGTTCTAATGATAGTGGCAGTTTGAGCCAATTAGAAGATGATGAGTGTGGAATCTGCTCTATTAATTATTAATTGTAATAAAATATAATAATATAATAATGTGGGGAATCTATTAAAAGCACAAAGGACCGTTGTGTCTTTTCTTCTTTTTTTATTTCTTTTTTTATGGTCCCAACGTTTTTAATTTTGGTTATTTTGATTAATAGTACGAAAATATATTTGCAATTTTTTTTTACTTTTTCATATACTTTTTCACTTTTTAACACACGTTATTTCTCTCCTTTTTTCTTCTTAAATATAATATATAATTTGTTAAAAGCCCCGCAAATGTAATTTTTTTTTAACAATAAAGATCTCAACCGTTTGTCTTAAAAAAAACCTTGCATTTTTAGTCCCTAAAAGTCAATTGGAAATCGTGTGAGTGCGCGTCATTTATGGGGCGCAACATAAAGCATAAGTTTACTGTCGAAGTTCACTACCTATTTCAACGAGTCATATACAAATTAGGGTATAAATTTACTCCGAAAGATCTAAGATTGTCTCTATGTCTTAAACATATCTGAAAGTTCATAAAATTGTCGACAAAACAAATTAGGAAATACTTTGTGAGGTTTAAATTACATCAAATTGTCAAAATTTCTTCAATTTTTGTTGTTTCTATTCCAACAAAAAAAATTTTGTATCAGTTATAAGAGATGAATCGAGGGTTTGTTAGATAGTGTAGGTTAGTCACAATAAGTGAAAGATAGTAGAGAAAGGATCTTCAGCAAGAGAAATTTTGAAGCCAGGAATTTTAATCAAAATAAAATTATACTGGCAAATGGCGAATAGGCTCGTGACAATGAATTTAAATGTATATAGGTCCAGATAAAAAATAATCTCGCAATAAACCCATCATCATGTTTTTTTGTTTAAAATACCAATCATAATATAATTTTCATCAATTACATCCATTACTCTCTAACTTCATCAATATTGCATATTGACCCCGAATTTGAACAAATCTATTTTTTTTAGAAAATATATATTTTTTTCTGAATTCTTTTTTCCAGTGCTTCCGGCGTTGACTTTTTTTTTTAATATTTTTTCTATAAAAAAAAAATTCGGACAATCAACCGCCGTTGACTTTTTTTTTTCTATAAAAAAACATTTGTTAATGTTGTTTTTTCCGTTTTTATTATTATATTTTTTATACAATTTTATTTCAATGATGTTTTATCAATTTTATTTACTTATTTATTTCTATTGCTTTCAAAAGATATTTTAGATTACCATTCTATTTTATTTCAATTTTTTTAATATATCCATTCAAATCTTTATACATTTTTTTAATAAGTTTGATTGATTCTTTTTGCATATTATGTTCTTTTAGTTTTGGTTTTATTTTCATATTTTAAACAACTCCTAATGTTAATGCTATTTATTTTCATATAATTTTATTTCAATAATTTTGTAGCATTTTATTATTGTTTCCCATTATTTTTAATATAAAATCCGATTCACTATTCATTTTAATTTCTATTTTTTAATAATTTCATTCAAAAGTTTGTTCAAATGTTTAACGACTTTGAATCATATTTATATATTTATATAAAATTGGAAATCCATTCTTTATTTTTTTTAATTTTTTTTTCTAAATATTTCACGATTTTATGGTATTCATGTATATTTGAAATAGTAGCAAAAAGTAGACTAATATACCGTATTTTAAACCAAATTTATTTTCTTGGTGATTTCTTTCCTCGGTTACTGTTTATATCAATGGATTTCACAATGATTTGTTTAAAAAAAGTATTTTACCTGTTTTTCAATATTTTCATGAAATTAGATATTAAAATTCAAAAACAATGATATTAATAATTTATTTGATTAATTGTCTTACCTATTTTGCACACCCTTCA